GAAAAGAAAGGTAAAAGGGAAATGATAAAGTCTAGAAAATAGAAAACATAAAATAAGATGGAAAAAAAGATGAAAGAAATCAGTAATCATATTAAACCTAGCTGGATTCTTTGTTACCTTTAAGAGAAAGATATTCTGATTCAGTTAAAAAAAAAATCTACCTTGCTGTTTATAAGATACACAGCTAAAACAAAATGACCACCAAAAAGCGACCAAAAAAACCCCACAAATGCACAGATAGAATAATGTATCAGACACATTCTAATCCCCCATAAGAGTATATATGGCAATTAAAATATAAATACCAATATTATATTAATTATAATTATATTAATTATATTACTATAAATATTAATATAAAGTAAAATATAATATAAAGCAACAACATTAAATAGGAAAGGGAGAGATTTTATGTTGATAAAAACTGCAACCCACCAAGAACAGACTGTCATGAACCTTTATACATTTTTTTAAAGCTTCAAAACATGCAAAGTGAAGACTATTTACTTTGAAGGAACGATTGTGAAGTGTGTACTCATCATAGGAGATTTCAACATGCCTCTCAGAAATAAGTAAATATATAGAGTATTTGAATAAAAAGTACGTGTAATCTGTACCTAAAACTCTGTACCCAGCAAATAGAGAAGACATGCTTTTTTAAAGCAAAATAGCATGTTTACAAAATGTTACAAATACCACACACATTGTAATATTAAAAACAATTTTAAGAGAAAATAAGTGACATATATTTTAAAATGAATGAGAATGACATAATGCATATAAAAACATGTGAGATACATAATCTTAAATGCATTCATTTATTAGGAAACAAGAAAGAATAAAAATAACGTGACCACCACATCAACTTAAAATTCTAGGAAAGGAATGGCTAAGGAAGCAAAAACAGAAGAAATGAATGGATAATGATAAAAGCAGAAAATAATCGCTTCAAATTATAAATAATAATATTGATCAATAAAATGAAAACCTGGTTCTTTGAAATGATCATGATTTTGATTAAGTTAAAAATGAAGAATAAAAAAAATCCATATGATTCTAGACATAAAGGAGATTTTTAAAATAATAAGAGAATTCTGGGGGTAGCTGGGTGGCTCAGTCATTAAGCATCTGCCTTCGGCTCAGGTCATGATCCCAGGGTCCTGGGATCGAGCCCCACATCGGGCTCCCTGCTCAGCGGGAAGCCTGCTTCTCCCTCTCCCACTCCCCCTGCTTGTGTTCCCTCTCTTGCTGTCTCTCTCTCTCTCTATCAAATAAATAAATAAAATCTTAAAAAAAGAGAGAGAAAGCAAATTCTGCATATAACTGTGTACCCATGAACTTGAAGTCTGGATGAAATATTTGATTACACAGGAAAGTACATGAAACTGACTCAGGGAAAGGCAGAAAATCTAAATTGATCAATAATTGCTGGAAAATTTATAAAGGTGATCAGCGATCTATTCTTTTGCTATATAAACTGTTCTGGGGCATAAGTAAATAAAAAAAGACTTTCCAATTCATACTGAAAAGTTAGTGCAACTCTAACACCAAAATGAGGCACGATTGATGACATGTACCAACCTCATTTCCAAACATAGTTGTAAAGACCCTAAATAAAATATTAGTGTTGTTAAAGAATCATACATCAATACCAATGAATTTTTATCAACCTATCATACTCCAAAACTATTATTTTGATTCACAGCCCCACAAAGAATATTTAAGAATACCTGATTTTCCACATCTCTGCCAAACTTGGGGTTGGTAGAATGGCTCTGATTTTATTTTATTTGACCTTTTTCCCCCTGAGGTTAGCTATATACATGGTGTAATTGAGATTTTAAAATGTTTTAAATTTCAAATAAAAAAGTTTCAGAGTAGTGATGGGAATAGGTATCTCAGGTCAGCTCAAGGCAAAATTATGAAATAAATTTTGTTTTTGGATCCTCCAGCCTCTTCTTAGTACTTCCTTCTCATCTTGAATAGGGGCATGGACAGATGGACAGCCATTCCCTCCACATCAGTTTCCCAGAAAAACTATGAAGCCCTGGCATACAATTCTACTTCAGGCTCCTTGACAAATAAAAACACAGGGGGGGCACCTGGGTGGCTCCTGGGTTGTTCCATCCATTAAACATCCAACTCTTAGATTTTGGCTCAGGTCCTGATCTTAGGGTCACTGGTTCGAGCCCCACGTCCAGCTCTGTGCTCAGCGCTAAGTCTGCTTGAGATTCTCTCTCTCCCTCTCCATCGGCCCCTTCCCTCTCTCTCTAATAAATAAATAATCTTAAAAAAAAAATAAAACAAACACAGATCTATGTCTCCACTGCCTCTTGTCCCAAATCCTTTAGAAACCCTACATTATACACCTTCCTACCCCCCCTCCTCAAATCTGTTCCTAGGAAGGCCTGATAATGTTATATTTCAAGGTAAATTTTTCTATTTCCTGCCTCAGAAAAATTTGCATAAGAAATGTGATCTCTAATTAGGCAATAAAATGAAGGCATTACAGAACAAGTGGGTCCCGTGTTTAAGGAACTCTGATGCCTAAGTTTTAAATTCTTCTAAAACAATGAGCTCACATATTATCCTGATTCTCCTCAGCTTCCTCCCAGCTAAGGACATGATACCTTACAGACTATAGCTGGCCTGCTCGAAGAGTTAATCTGTAGGGTTGGCCAAGTTCCACTTCTGCTCCCTGGTTCTTAATCCTGTGGACCTCAGATTGTCTTCCCAATTCACGCACCTGCTCCTGAGTTCAGAACTGAGAAGAGATGCCTCTCTTCTTCCAAGTGGATTTCGTGGCGGCATCAGTAGCCATTTGGGAGGATGTTCTGTTGGCCCTTCAGCCAAACCTATAGCCATGCAGAAGCAGATTTCAGCGCAAATCTAATGGAGCTGGGGCACGCCTCCACCCAATGGTCCTTACCAGAGATCACAACTTCGGCCCCTGAGCCAAACACAGTGTGTAGATAGATTTTGTTTGGCTCTCTCTATTTTTCATGTTTTTGAGTTCAAATGCCTACGAAGGCATTTCAGTCTACAGTCTCTGCTTTATACTCATTGCACAGTCTGACCTCAGGACATAAACAATCAGGATACAAAAGAATTAAGCAGCTCACAAATCAGATGTTTGTATAATCTTTCTTCCCCTCTCTTCGTCCCTGTGTTTAAGGCACAAGACAAGAACGTGAGAGCTCTTGAGTTCTAATCACAACTCTCCTAACTAACTCATTTTGTGACCTTAAGCAAGTTACTTTGGGTAGTGGACTAGATTTCTAAGGCAACTGATAGTTTAACAGTCTCTGCATCTGTCTATTCTCTCCCTCATACTGGCAAAACTTAGAATTATACATTAGCAAATGCTATAAAGTTTACTTCCTAGGTAGTTGGAAATAGGCAAGCACTATTATTTTCTCATTTTACAGCTAGAGAAACCTGAAGCCTAAAGCAGCTGAGAAAAATAGTAATTCAGTGTAGATATTCAAATAAACTTTTGGCTTCCCTCTGACTTGGAGAAAAGATCTTTGCTATTGTTCCACATTATTTTGGGACCTTGTATTAATCCTCCATCGCTCTATCTTTACCCTCCTTCCTGATATTCATCCCTGGAGAATACTTTTCTCCCCTGGATTACCAAAAGGAAAGATGTTATTGTATTATCTGTTTTCCTCTTCTTACAACCTGGAAATAATTGCTAAGTTATTTTCAAGGGAGTTCAAGGTAATTTTTTTATTTAAATTCAATTTTATTAACATATAGTGTGTTATCAGTTTCAGAGGTAGAATTTAGAGATTCATCAGTTGTATATAACACCGAGTGCTCATTCTATCATGTGCCCTCCTTAATGCCCATCACCCAGGTACCCCATCCCCCCACTGACCTCCCCTCCAGCAACCCTCGGTTTGTTCCCTAGAGGTCAACATCTCTTATGGTTTGTCTCACTCTCTGTTTTCCTCTTATTTTATTTTTCCTTCCCTTCCCCTATTTTCATCTGTTTTGTTTCTTAAATTCCACATATGTGTGAAATCATATGATAATTGCCTTTCTCTGACTGACGTATTTCGCTGAGCATAATACCCTCTAGTTCTATTCACACTGTTGCAGATGGCAAGATTTCATTGTTTTTGATGGCTGGGTAATATTCCATTGTATATGTATACACCACATCTTCTTTATCCATTCATCTGTCGACGGGCATCTGGGCTCTTTCCACAGTTTGGCTATTGTGGACATTGCTGCTATAAACATTGGGGTGCACGTGCCCCTTCGGATCACTGTGTTTGTATCCTTTGGGTAAATACCTAGTAGTGCAATTGTTGGGTTGTAGGGTAGCTCTATTTTCAACTTTTTGAGGAACCTCCATACTGTGTTCCAGAGTGGCTGCACCAATTTGCATTCCCACCAACAGTGTAAGAGGGTTCAAGGGGGTTCAAGTTTAGCGAGAGGACTGAAGGATCTAGAGCCGTCCCAATATCAAAACCCTTCATAACTATTGCTGAGGAGTAAGTGTGGTGATGGCTTTATTGTACACACGCAGATACATAAACACGCGTGCGCACGCACACACACACAGACACACACACACACACACACACACACAGTAGGCCCACTTACTGAAGGGCATACTAAACTAGCTACTTTTAAACAATTTCTCAACTCACAGCTTACATCGCAGCTTACACATTTTTGTAAATCCAGCAAGTTTTAATTTCAAACTGAAACGATAGAAGAGGACATTTTCCTTCATTGTTTCTCGTCGTTGTAAACATCATCAGTGCAATTATGTGAGGTGGTCCCTGTTAGGAGGCTATGAGACATCTTCCTCTTAATGAACTGCAGAACCCTCTAGCCGAATTCTGGCTCTGCCTGCTTTCCCTGTGGTGAAGACTCTACCTTGTAGATATTAAGACAGTCTGTGTTCAGATATGGACTCATTGATCGAATTTCTCTTGGGGAAAAACATGCATTGCTAATGGTCGCCTTGTCTCAAATTGCAGATTACGGTCTTTCGGATGGGGTCAGAAGGACACCAGGACATTGATTTAGCTATCCTGACAGCTTTGCTCAAAGGTAAAAGAGTTTTTCTGTGTCCAGAGAGCGCAAAAATAATTTAAATGGGTTAACACAGCAACTTTGTCTCCCAACAGTAGATGTAATCCCAAATGATACTGTGACATCCAATTATTAGTAACCTAAGGACTTCTCCTGGAAGACATTGTTCCTGCTGTGAAATTCTTCTATGATAGACAGAGCTGTCAAAGTACGACTCAATTTCATAAAGTTTAAATATATTACAATTTGGTCATGTCCATTGAGTCATAAAAATATACAAAGTAAAAGGCTAATGTAATATGTAAGACACTAAGTTACTGAAGTTATTCAATAATTAAACCCTGTCTACTTCCAAAAACCATTTAATAGGGCATAGATGATAGAGAGAGAGATAGCATCATGCATTAAAAATGGAAAATCAAAATCATTGAGAGAAAAGAGGAAGAAATAAACAAACAAAAAAATGGGCTACTATACTTCTGGTAATGGAACATTAAATTTAGCTCTAAGTGTCCTTGAAGTCCAGGCAAAAATAGGAATGCCCTGGATTTTTTGATTTTCCTTGAAGGTGGTTGTTTGTCCCGTTCTCTAGTCCCCTTGCTGTCAAGAGGTCGCACTACATGTGCTCATCCTTAGGACCATACTCAAGAGAAGAGCAGTTTCCTCTGGGCTCCACAGATCAAATTCTGCCCTTAATGTCCCCTAATAGGTCTATACATTTGACCCATACCATTCAGCATTAAATAAACAAAAGGAAGTTATCTCTGTTAAGCACTGAACTGAAAACTGGAACTATAAGATGAAACAAAACCACAAATCTTGTTGAATGTGGTTCTGAGGTCGAGATGTCACCCTTGTTCTCCCGAGCCCCATACTTTACCTGCTGCCCCATTTATCACAAGGTTGGTGACTGCCTGTTAGCAAGCCTTCCTGGATCATAGCTCTGTGAGGACAGAGAATGTGCCTTTTCCATTCGTGGATAAGACACACCTCAGCACCTCACATAATCCCTTACACATGGCAGCATTCAGTCAATTTTTGTTGAATAAATGAAGGAATGGATTACTAAATGAATGATTACTTAACGATTCAGTGATAGACTTAACATTCCAAAATTGAAATTCGGAAAAGCAACCATTGTGTTCTATTTTCCAGTCTCCCTACCCTTTTTCCACTATTAATTCTTCCTTGAATAGCCATTCTGTGGCAGCCATTATGCCTGATGCTAAGCTTTTTACAAACCCTATAAACATCGATTATTACGGCAACTGTATTGTGTAGGAGCTCTTTAATCCCCATTCTGCAGACAGATAGTGTCTGTAGTGGAGCTACCAGATTTAAGTAACTTACTCAGGGTTACCATGCTAATTAATAGGCCTGAACTTAGATCCCATCTAACTCTTCACTGCGCCACATATGCTCATGATCGTGATGCTAGCAGCCATTGATCCCCCCCATGTATCCCCCAAAGGTGTATTTGCACATTCGTTCAAAATCCCAATCACATCTCAGAAATTCGCAATGCTGCAAGGTGTGTCCTGTGTCCCAGGTTGAGAAGCTTTGCTCTGAAACATTTCATTCCCGTGAACTGACAGAGACATGAAGAAGAGTTCATGCATGGGACCCTGTGTGTGCGGAACCACAAAGCACACTTTGGCCTCCGTTCTCCGATTGTCAGAGAGAAAAATTAAAAGTTTGAGGCAAGAAATTCTCTAATGCTGGCTATTCTTACACGAAAATAAGAAAAAGTAATAAAGCCACCTAACTAACACTTCTTGAAGACTTGCTAAGTGCCAAATGCTGTGTTAGATACATTCTGTGTATAAATGCATTTAATCTTTACGAATTTGATGACCAGTTCATTGCAAGGCTCATCTTATCAATAAGGGGATCGAGACACAGAACAATTCAGTTACATGCCCAAGATAAGCTGACCTGGAAATAGTAGAGACAGGCTGCCCCCATAGCCCTCACTTACGTAAACCACCAAGGCATCCCTAATCGCACTGATAATAAGAAGTAGAACTCCACATTTATCACCTTGAACCAGAACTCAGCAAACAGAGAAGTGGCCTCGTTATTGGTTAAACACATATAAGCCATCACAATATCTTCTACTGTAAATATTTTCTTCTGTTTTCAGCAATTTGTGACTTAAATTTGTGTTTCACCTGTAGATCATACAATTTATTTGTTATAATATAGGATAATTGTATCCTGACTGCATGACAGACCATATGAAATACATTTTATATTGTAACCAAGTAGTTAGACTTAAGTTTTTAGAAAGCTGAAGTTAAAGCACATGAAATTATATTTACATTGTATACAATGAAATTGGATATTTTCTATTCTATTCTATTCTCTTTAATGCTGATTATATCCCACTAAATTGATTTCATGACCCACTAATGGGTCATAATCTGGAGTTTAAAAAACACTGCCATAGTAGATTAAAGGAAATTATGATTGCTCTAAGAAATTAACATTTCTAATCACTATACTGAATATTATTTATGCAACAGTTGATGCTAATGGGGATTTCTGCCATTAAAAGATTATGATGTGTCATCTCTATTTTGCAAAGGCTTTTAAATGCTCTCTGATTTTGATCCAGTTGATGTTGAAGGATGTCAAGCTTAATCCTTTCGCTGACTTTCTTGGAGGCCAAGAGCATACTTATATCAGTTTCAAATTCTTTAGTTTGTTAAATTATGCTTATGTATTTTTTTAAATTATGCCAAGGCACATAACGTGGTTTAACACTTAACTTTTACAATTATACTTAGTTTTCAATTATCCCATGCATGAGGGATTTTTTACAGTCAAGTTTTTATTCTTGCCATCATCTGAAAAAACTAGAAATTAGATAGGAGGAGCGGGAGAAAACCGTGAGACTCAACACTGGTCCGTAAATCCAGAGCCCCACAAAGAAAAGAAAACAAAACAAAACAAAACAAAAAGGACGTGTTAGGAACCAAGTGGCCGTGAGGAAATTCTACCTTTGCTGACCCCTTGTTTCTGATCCCACTGGGTTGTTTTCTTCAGTATCTGTATATATTAAAGAATACTGTTTATAGGACACGGACTGATTGGGTATCTGTTCAAAAATGAAGAAAGAAGGGGGGGGGGCGCCTGGGTGGCTCAGTCGTTAAGCGTCTGCCTTCGGCTCAGGTCATGATCCCGGGGTCCTGGGATCGAGCCCCACATCGGGCTCCCTGCTCGGCGGGGAGCCTGCTTCTCCCTCTCCCACTCCCCCTGCTTGTGTTCCCTCTCTCCCTGTCTCTCTCTCTCTCTGTCAAATAAATAAAATCTTTAAAAAAAAAAAAATGAAGAAAGAAGGAGATAAAAAGAATGTTGTTCCAGAGGTCTTGGAGGCTCACAGTTTCCTCAAAGGCTGACCTGGGGTAGCTTTTGAGAATACACAATATCACATCTGTCTTTCACGTTAAGGTAACTGCTCTCTGAGAGTGGTGGTCTGAGGCTAGAAACTGTCCAACCTACAATGCTTCTCCTTTTCTGCTCTCTCCTCTCCCCCGCCACACATACCCAAGGGGACCCAAGGAAAATGCAGAGAAAATGCAGGATGTTGACTATTCAGATAAACAACAAATACATTTTTAGCATAAGCATGTCCCAAACATTGCCTGGGACATACTTATACTGAAAAAGCTGTTTATTATTTATCTGAAATTCAACCTTAACTGGGAGTCTTGCGTTTTTATTGCTAAATCAGGCTTCCCTACTCAGAGGAGGCCTGGTACCATGAATATTTTTGCATTTCAGACACTTTGAGTGGTTCTAGGGGGAAAAGTACTCAAAAATCTAGGGAAGTCACCTAGTTCCTCTCTATCTGCCTCCTTCTCAGCCTGGCCCTGCCCAAGTCATAGCAACCAGAGGCTTCACTGGAAACAACCCCAGACTTACCTTCGTAAACTACCCAGTGTTTACCAACCTGCTCTGAGTCACCTTTTCCTAGCCAACGGGCTCATGCCCCTTGCTTCAGCCCCTCCTGCTCCAGGCTCATAAAGCCAGAAAACATCTGCTCATAGCAGGGTCCCTCGGCCCTCTCTGTGAATATAATTACTTCCAATTTTTAAGTCTTCTCTTGTGCACCTCGGAAGTCAAATCATGTGGGCGTGTACCCTTTCATTTCTATGCAGGTACTAGAGTAGAGTATGTGGTTGACGATTGCTATCCTCCATAAGCAAGAAATTCTTTTTCTTTGGCTTTAATCTGCACTGGTAAAGACATTCTTCTGTGGCACAGGAAAAGACACTTATTGTTTACTTCTTTTTTTCTGGAAAGCATTTTTTAAAAGCTCCCAGGGCCTGCAAAACTCTATGTTCCTCCTCAAAACTGCCAAGGTCATCAAAAACAAGGGTAGTTTGAGAAATTGTCACAGGCTAGAGGAGCCTAAGGAGGCGTAATGACCACATGTAATGTGGCTTCCTGGATGGGATCCTCAAGCAGAAAAAAAGAAAGAGTATTAGGTTTAAAACTAAGGAAATCTGAATGAAGTATGGACTTTCATGGGTTTTTTTTTAAGGTTTTAAGGAAAAATTAGGATAGCTGTGCTATCATATATTTTGGAGCTGAGCAGGAAACATACTGGCACCAAGAAAATCTTTCATGTCATGTCAAAATGACAAAAAAGGAGAAAGCATCTTATGAAATTAGCTGTGAAAGTCAGGTACGTATGTAATCAAAGTACTGGACTAGGTACAGGCAGTATTTAATATATAAAGTGTCTATATAAATCAGATAGGCGTGGATAATAGCTGATCACTATAAGAAATGATTAGAAATCTCACTGGGGAATCTAGCAGGAGATATTTGAATGCAGGACTAATATGAAGCAATTTGTATGAAATCCAATTTCCCTATGGACTTACACAGTCATTTCAGAGAAAATTATCTAGTTCTTCCCTTTTTTTTTATGTTTTGGCTCTTCAGACAAAATTAATCCTATCGATAATTAATAAAGTAATTAATTATTTACGATACTTATAAGTGGA